AGACAAAGAGAAGATCTTGAAAGCAGCCAGAAAAAGGACAGATCCCGTACAAAGGAATGACAGATAATTAGAATAACAGAAGTCCACTCAGCAACAACGGAAGCCAGAAGACAGTGGAATAATATAAACAAGGTGGTGAGAACAAATAACTGTTGCTAACCCAGATTTATGTATGCAGCAAAACCGCTGCACAAGAACAAGAGGAACTGAACATGCTTGTAGGTAAATAAACACTTTTGGGAAATTCACCACCAACAGACCTGTTCTAAAGAAACTTCCAAAGAATACACATCAAAAAAATATTTCCAAATACTGAAAAATGATGGTCCCTAAGTAACATTCAAGAGATTTGAGGAAAAAAATAAACATAATATATGTTTGGTAAATCTGAACAAACATAGCCTGGGTTAAATAATAATGGTGCCCAATTTATGCACTAAAAAAAAAAAAGGACATAGATGAACTGCTGGAAACACAATGTAAAGTCTGAGAAGGTAAAGACCGCAGCTAAGATATTCTAAATTCCATTTACTGTTTGCAGATGGGGTCAGAATATTAACTTTTATAATACTAAATTTGTACGGTAAAATGTCAGTGGTAACCAAAGAACAGAAACAGAATTTAAAATAACACACAATAAAGTAAAGCTGGGCAATCAACAATTACAATGTAATGTAATTAATAAATCTTTAAAAAAGGTCAAAAAATGAAAGCACGCAAATACAAACCCCCCCCCCAAAAAGTGACAGAAATTAGTCCAACTCCATCAATAATCTTCATTAATGTGAATGGTTTAAACTCATATAAAAAGCAAGCTCAGAAGGAATTTTTACAAAATAATGTAGCTTTTTTTTTATGTAGTTAAAAGACATACACCTAACAAGGACAAAAAAGACTAAAAACAAATGCACGGAACACAAGACACATGAGGCAAATACTAACTAGCTACATTAAAATCGGACAAAACTGAGTTTTAGATGAAAGCATCAGTTAATACATGGAGGGTTACAGATAAGGATAAGTTTCATCAGATGTACCTTCCTGATTCAATTCATCAGGACAATTTTAAATATAGATGCACCTAGTTCAATAGCCTCAAAGTAAACGAAGCAAAATCTACCAGAAGTACAGAGAAATTAAGGCAGATCTGTCATCCTGACAAGCAATTTCAAAACCCTCTCAATCACTGATAAGCAGACCAAAAATTCAGCAGGTCAAACGTGAATGAGCTACAGAGCTTCATCTATAAATGCAGAAATTTCAATGCAACAGTTAGGACCCACTTTCTTTCAGAATGTACATGGAGATGTACAAAATGGACTACATTAAGTCTTAAACTACTTAAAAAAAATGTATTATACAGATCACACTATCTGACCACAATGCAATTAAATACATAGTATATAGTTAAAATGATTAAAAGACTAAAACCAAACCTTCCATATTCTATGCATTAAACACATTTGAATGAAAACAAAAAATTTGTGACATGCAGCAAAAACGGCATGTCAAGAGAAATTCATGCCTTAAATGCTTACATTTTGCAAAAAACAGGCTAACATAAGAAAAAAATATAGATAGATGTGTTAAAAATAAGAGCAGAAATCAAAAAAAAAAAAAGAGCAGAAATCAATGAAAGGGAACACACACCAAAAGAGAATCAGTAAAGCAAGAACTGCTGTTGTTATAAATCTTTCAAAAGACTGGCAAAATATACTTTGAGCAACAGATTAACCCAAAACAAAAGCAAAATACTGTGAGGTAGCTACCCTCATTAAAATACAGAGGTTAGAAAGATCAGAGAACACTATCAACAACTCCAGCCATTATATGTGCATATTTAGATTTTTAAAAACCTGTAAGAGAGGAAGCTACCAACAGTGACTAAGCGAACTAATTAACTTTGCAGTGTCACTCTGCGCTTGTGAACAAATGATACCAGTAATAGCAGTAACAGTCTTCAGTAGTAGAGGTACTCCACACCTTTTCAGTTTTTTAACCTTTTACTTTAAAACAAAACAATGATATAGAAAGCCGCACAGAAACGCCTAATGAGTTCTTATAAGGCAAAACACCATTATAATCTTATTCACATCTAGAAAATAGATCTAAGTAAGCCACCCCACAGCATGCGAAATACTGGGCTGGATGAGTTACAAACTGGAACCAAGATTGCTGAGAGAAGTATCAACAACCTCAGAGATGCAGATGATAATACCACTCTAACTGGCAGAAAACAGCCTCTTGATGAAGGTGAAAGAGGAGAGTGAAAACTCTGGCTTAAGATTCAGTATTAAAAAAGCTAAGATCACACCAGTTTATGGCAAACAGAAGGGAAAAAGGTGGAAGCAGGGACAGATTTCCTCTCTGGCTCTAAAATCACTGTGGATGGTGACTTCAGCCGTGAAGTTAAAAGACACTTGCTTCTTGGAAAGAAAGCTACTGACAAACCTAGACAGTGTATTAAAGAGCAAAGACAACATTTTGTCAAGCAAGGGCCATAGAGTCAAAACCATGGTCTTTCCAGTAGCCATGTATGGATGTGAGAGCTGGACCATAAAGAAAGCTGAGTGCTAAAAAAGAAAAAAAGAAAGCTGAATGCTGAAAAATTGATGCGTTCAAACTGTGGTGCTGAAGAAGACTATGAAGATTCCTGTGGACTGCAAGCAGATCCAACCAGTCAATCTGAAGCTGAAACTCCAAAACTTTGGCCACCTGATGAGAAGAGTCAGCTCATGGGAAAGTCCCCGATGTCAGGGAAGACTGAAGGCAGGAGAAGAGTGAGACAGAGAATGAGGTCGTTGGATCCAATGGACACGAGTTTGAGTAAACTCCGGGAGATGGTGAGCGACAGGGAGGCCTGGCGTGCTGCAGTCCATGGGGTCGTAAAGAGTCGGACACGACCGAGCGACTGAACAAGAAGCCACCCCACTAGCCTCCCTCTGTGTGCTCCTATCCACAAGGAATCATAGATGCTTTTTAGAGTAATATCTAGTTTGAGATTTTATCATACAAGTGTACATACCCAGACACGGACACCTTACCCTTGTCCCTGGCGTTTTGTCTTTTCAGCCTACTGATATATATAATGCCCCCGAAGCTACACTGGGCCTGTTGCACCTCCTGGCCTCTGTATTTCCTGCCAGCTGACTGCTGCATCAGAGACTTGATCACTCAGGTTCACATCCCCCGGCAAGACTACGGTCGTCTTTTATTCTTTCATCAGGAGGCACAAAATAGTGGATTTTCACTTTTAGAAGTTTTAATACAATTATCAGTACCTAGATTCACTAATTCACTGTTAGTTGGGGGGGAAAAACTACTACAATTCTATCATTTTGTTTTCACTTCTAAGCTAAAATAATTTTAAAAGATGCTCCCTTCATCTACTGTATCAAAAGGGATAGCAAGTAGTTTTGATTTTAAGTTGTGGGGATTTCATGGTCTGCTGCAACCGTCCAGCTCTGTGGCTGTAGTATGAGAGCCACAGACCAAACACAGATAAATGGACACGGCTCAGTCTGATAAAACGTCACTTACAAAAACAAGTATTAGCTCCTGAACAACTCTGTCACCCTGTGGTACCACCCTTAAAGGAAAGAAAGCATAAATGCTCAATTTTACTTCTCTGGTTCTCACAACAATGAATTAGTATCTATTATCCTCCAAAAGGACCAATTAAGGGTTTACCTGGAGAAGGAAATGGCACCCCACTCCAGTATGCTTGCCTGGTGAATCCCATGGAGAAAGGAGCCTGGCAAGCTACAGTCCATGAGGTCCAAAGAGTCAGACACAACTTAGCCAACTACACCACCACCAAGAATTTACTTAAAAATACCACCATGGGGGGGAGGAAAAAACCATCATGAAATCACATATTCAAACCTGTTTAACAGACTCCAATTCACTGCAAATCCTTACTAAAGCTCAAATCCCAGTTTCCACAGCTTTAAACAAATTGGCCCACTTACACTTTGAATCAATACCTACTGGCAATTTTGGGGGTTTTCCCATTTTCAGGACCATGATTTATTGGAACCACACATATGGAGATGGCAAACTGCACACCCTAGGTTAAGGACTTTTTAGAAAAGAGAGAGAGAGAGAGAAGGGACAAATATAAGATGGAAGCATAGGGTTTCATGAAACAAGTAAATCTGAGAGCACCCTGGAACAATTCAAAGGACCTCGATGAGGAGGAATGAAAAACTATATTCCGGCATTACAGAAGTATTAAGTCACAAGTAGCAGGCAGCTTTGGTGGAGTTTTTTAATCAGATCTTCATAGAACAAAGTAGAGTCTTTGCTGATGGGAACAGAAGAAACAGGGTAGAAGGCAGTGGAGAAGGGCTGGGCAGGCCCAGGGACAGATAATGAATGAAGCTGCCGAAAGGCCAAGCTGCCGGCATCAGTCCTGGACGTCGCCGAGTGGGAGGAGGGGCCAGAAGCGCTCTAACAAAGGAGTCACAGGGTCAGAGCCACACCGAGATGGGAGGGTCTGCGCAGGAGGAGGGGTGAGGGGTGAGAGAGAAAGCAGGAATATTAGCTGGAGTATGTCAGACCCAAGGGGATAAACTAGCACTACCGTGACAATAAGGCAGCTCCGACAGGTCAGAAACATGATGGTCAGAAAGGGGAGACTGAAAGACACGCCTTCAAGCTCCAGGGAGCCGGGGCAGGATTAACAAAAAGAAAGAAGAGCGCAGGCATCCACATGACTGAAGACTGGCAGAATACTGAAAAAGCTGGGTGACTGGGTTCATGGGAATTCACTGCCCTATTCTTTCCACTTTTGAGAACACTAAAAATTTCCCCAATAATATGGTTTTTTAAATTCTGAAAAATGTATAGACTTCCCTCATGTTCCCTTATTCTATTCATGGGCCTACTGAACCCTTTTCTCATAGCATAACCAAGATTTCATAAATACTCATTGGAAAATATGTAATGTCTTGTGAGAGAAAGTATAGTAGAAAATGAAACACCATTTAAACTATTACCTTGACTTTTGTCTATATTATCTCCTTTTGCTTCCTCTTCTTTAATGGGAGAACTTATCCTGGGGACTCTGCCTTGTCCCTGGACCATTTCTGCTAGCAATTCTTCCTGAGAAGTTCGAGTTCTGGGAGCAACTGGAAGTGTCTGTTTCTGTGAGACTTTTACATAAAAGGCAAAAAAATAAGGAAATTCAATTGAAGTGATATATCAAAACTCAACAGTGAGTATCACATTAAACATAAATGCCTTCTTGGGTTTAGAATATATGAGCTGTTAGAAACAGTTCATAGATACCTCATGTTTCCTTTCAATACTCTTAGTTACCCATGCTTATATAAAACACACCTATACATCTTAAACTACATGCAATAAACACACAGCAGCACACATGTGTTGTTAACCATGTGCAGTCTGAGTTCTGCTTCATGGTTCTAAAATAATATCAAATTATAATCTTGATAGCCTGGATAAAGAATTTCAATGCTATTTCTCAAAAATCTTTGAGACTCTCTCCGGTTACAAAAGTAGGAAATTTTAAGTTCACGGTGATGTCTGAATTTCTCACCATTCTAAATACTCAATATTGCTGACAGATCAAAAAAGAAAATGTAAATAGAGGAACTGTTAGGTCAACTTGGCCTGTACCTAATCATTCAAACGCTGTTCATGTTCAGAGTTAAATTAGGGATGAGAAGTAAGGGTACAGATGACTACCAGGCTCGAAAGTTGCTAGCTTACAGTTTACTTCATTTTAAGAAAGGGTCACACAAAGAGATGCAAAAGAGAACAGAAAAGCAGAAAAATGATAAAAGAACACTCTTCAAATCCGTAGCAAAAGTAAAAATTAAAAAATTAAGAGTGGGTAACCATTACAGCTTATTAACAGAAAATTTTACATACTAGTTATAGCACGCGGGGCACAGAGCACAGAATCTGATGGCAATATGACACCCATCATTTGGTTACATTTTAGGATGAGTTTTCAGTAAGATATTATTATAGCTCATTCTTCTCCTTTGTTTTAAAAACAAGTCAATACTTTATAGTCTTTCATAAAACCATTTAGTACTTCCACTAGGACTGGGGCAAGAACATGAGTCAATTGTCTGCCTCATATTCCATTAATAGGTTTTACTGAAAGGAAAGAAACCAACTTGTTCATATGCTAGACAAATTTTTCTAATTCCAACCGATTTTGAGTTTTGCTCCCTTTCATACAACATAAATTTGTATCTAATGTTGGCTATGATGCTATAAACATGAAAATCTCATATTTACCAAAATCCCCTTTATGATTTCCATTATATATTTTACCCTTATTAGAAAGAGGGAGTAAAAGGCATTACAGTTGTTCAGAGAACTAACTTCTACTGACAGCTGAGAAAGTTTCTCAAAGTGGTCAAATCCCCTTTGAATCATTCTCACGTTGGCCCTAACACTTAGCAGGCATCTCTAACAACACTTGAGGAGCGATCAACTACAGGTTACTCAGGGATTATAAACATTCAAATTACCTGTAGAATAGTTAGTTGTTTTTGTTACAGATTCTTGAGCTTCAGAAATAGCCTTCAAAATTAGATTCTTGTTAGCTTGTTTAGAAGGTGGAAGTGAAGGTCTAAAAAAGAAAGGTATTTTAACTGAACTTTAGATTTGAGTTCTTTACATGCTAGCCATCCACTGTATCTTACTGGAACAGACCAGCTGTAGGCTTTAGGAAATACCAAATGGATTGGAATCTTATAACTTTTCAAACAATGACTTTGGATCACCTTTCCTCCCACCCATGTTACAGTTTTTAATAGAGATTACCAATGGAACAGTCCTGTGTATGTGTTGGTCACTCAGTCATGTCCAACTCTGCGACCCCAGGGCTCCTCTGTCCATGGCACTCTCCAGGCAAGAATACTGGAGTGGGTTGCCATGCCCTTCTCCAGGGGATCTTCCTGATCCAGGCATGGAAAAGTCTTACACAGGATTAAATTTGTATTTTCATGATATCCTCTTCAAGAAACCCATTAGACTGTACCAGGCAATGAAAGGTTAATAATTTGCAGACACACTCAGGTACCTCTGTAACCCATTAGACTCTACCAGGCAATGAAAGGTTGATTACGGACACGCTCAGGTACCTCCTTTCAGGCTTCGCCGGCACCGACACGCTGCTGGAGAGGCTTCCGGTCCGGGACCCACAGTCATCGTCTTCCTCCTCCTCTTCTCCATCGTGACTGAACTTTTTTACTTTAACAACTGAACTTACCACAGGCAACTTTCTCTTCCGAAAGTTTTCTTCCTGCAATCAGATAAATTTCCACTTACCTAGTCTCAGAAGATAAAATTCTACTACAGAATACTTAATAAAGAAAAAGCCAAGCAATATTAAGAATTAAGTTCATGGGCTATTTCCCTGCTTTCCTATATAAATAAAAGTAATATCTCTAATAACCAATCTTAAGCTAAAGCAAAAAGTGCTTTACTGTCATTCATAAATGGCAGCGTACAGTACTGTTGAGGAAGCCAGTAAAGTGGTTACTCAATTGTTTACTATAGCCATGAAGGATCTAAAACTGACCTAAAATCCTCCCAAAATTATACCTTAAGGTAAGAGCTATCTCAAATGTTAGCATCCTAGGAAAATGAACAAGATGCAAAATATCTGTAGAAGACAGTTGTGGAGTGGAAAATGTGACTGGTGTATTATGTTGAGCAGCTCAGAAATCAGTTTAAAACAAACTTGCAATATGTGATGTTATTTCATATACAACTTATTATTAAGAATTGACAATTTTCAGCAGAACAGGTCAGAATTCACAAGTATATACAAACCTCAATACTCATCTTTTCTGAGTTGCTTCTGAAGAAGGGACTGTAAGTCTCTTCTAAGCTGTGAAGCACTTCTGGTTCACACAGACGTCCTGTCTCATACACCCGGCTACTCTGAACATCAAGCTGTTTGGCAGCATGAATACTGTTTTGCTGCTGTTGAAACTGCAACCTGTTTAAATGAGCACCACTGTCTGCGTTTCGACTTGCAGGTGGTCGATAAATTTCAATAGAAGGGCGAGAAGAACCGTATGTAAGTGTCACTGTAGCTTTTTTCTGAGATAAGGGATTCTCCTGCACAAAATTGAGGTCTTCATCAATGAGATCATCTGGTTCTGGCTTAATATCAATCACATCTTCAGAGGGTGCTAGCTCCCTCAAAGGTTTCACTGTGGACATTAGTCGGGTTGCAGCTCCATCATCGTAAGTCTGTCTGTTAAAAAATGAAAACAAAACCAAAAAGGGTGTTTTACTAGTTTACAGCAGCATCTTCCACTATTCAAAGACTAGTCAGATACATCTTAATGAAAAAGTATAGATAATAACTTTATGTATTCTATTAAAAACTACTATGAAACTGCATTTTTTTTTTACTTTGATTTACTACATTTTATAATCATTCTTTGGTCTTATCCTTATTTTATTCCGAAAAAAAAACTGTTCCCCACCACTTCAGTGTTTTCAAAAATGTCTGAAAACAGCAACTTAAAAGACATATTAACTAATGTAAATGTCACACACACCCATCTGCCCATAGGTCTACACAAGACTCTTACCTGACATTAGTGGCTTTCTGCTCCTGTGAACTTGTAGAAACTCTAGATTCTCTTTTTTCAGGTCTAGTGCTAGAAACTGCAAGAGGTGGCACTGCAGCTTCGTGCCTTCTCTCATCTCCTCGACTGAAACTGCTCTTGTTTGAAGGTACGTTACCATCAAAGAGGTTGGTATCAGAAGACTTCAGACTAGAGGGGTCTAGAAAGAAAAATACATGGTCCCTTTATTATTTATATTGATTACTTAAAGGCAATAAATATGTGTGCTTGACAACACAGTTAATTGCTGAACATTATTCCATAGTGATATAAACCTATCCAATTTATTATTACTGCACTTTTAAGTAATTTTCAATTATAAAACACTGAAACATCCTTGAAGCTAAATCATTGCGCACATCTATAATTATTTCCTTAGGATAAATTGCCTAGTTTCCCTTTACTTGTCTTCAAATTATATTAAATTTTTGCTCTTAAATTCATAAAAATGTGTGCTTCCTTAAAAAGTTCAAATGAACTGTTTTCAAATTCATGGGTTTTTTTCCCAAAGCAGTACAAATAACTTTTTAAAAACAATCACATTACAGCAAATTCCAGAAAAACCCAAACATCATTTTTATGAACCTTACCAGTTGTTACAGAACGAAGTTTATCTAATACACCGTGAAGCCTAAAAGAAAAAACAAACCCAAAATGTTAAAGCTTCCTTTTATGAAGAAAGACTGGATTTCAACTGTCACTCTAAGTCTGACATTACAGGTCAAATCTTCAGTTAAATACTGATAAATGGTATTAAAAGATTTTTTTTAAAAAGGCTTTATAGAAACACTGTAGGATAATTTTTATAAGTCTTATTTTTTCATCACTATTTTTCTCATCTAGCCTCTGCAAAAATAAGGGCAAATAGATCATCTGACTACATAGTGTTAGTTCACAAAGATTATTTTGTTTCAAAAGGATGAAAGATTCAAGGTAGTTTATGATAAAATAACAAAATACCATAAACATGTAATATATAACACTGTTAAAATTGTTGATAGCACTGTTTATTTTGTATCTATTTAGATGGCATCTAGAAGAACCTAATTCTGAGATGTGAAAAACTTAATTTCAAAATTACTACACCATGATTTTACTGTATTATTTTCAAAACTAATGCTGTAAACAAACCACCATCTTACTTATAACATAACCTATTTTAGTAGTTATGTACAAGGCAAATTTGCCTAACAAACCTTCTAGGAGGCCATGCTTTCTGAAAAAATTGTAATAATGTTTCACCCAGAACCCAGTCAAATGCCACTGTCCCCTAAGGCACAATTATTGCAGGGCTCCAAAGAATAAGAATAGTCTGTTTGTGGCTGGTGTTGATGGACGCTTAAGAAAGCAAAAGTGTCAAAATAGGAACACCATTACTTTTATCAGAACATGTTAAAGAACTAAATTTATGGTAAAATGAAAGAGTTGAACTGATTTTAAATTGAAATCAGTTCACAGTTTGTTTATCTAAGAAGCCTGTCTAACTCCCTCAAGTTATCTGAGAAAGGATCTACTAGGTCAACCTCCCATATTAGTGGGACTCAAAGTGATCCAAATGTTGAACCAAAAGTCCAGTCATAAAAAATGTGCATGAAACAAAACAAGCACCTGAACTGCTAAAGGCTTTAATCTTAAAAGCAGCAGCTCACGATAATCTTCATTCCCCAGTCAGAAGCCCCAGTCTCCCTCCCTCAGGCTTTCGGTAAACTCTGAGGACAAACTGTAATAAGCGGGTCAAGTCCACCCATACAGCGGGAGTGCATGAACCAAAACACTCAAGGAACAACCACTGCACTCAATGTTCTTCAAAAATGTGTAACATAAACCCAGAGAATTCTGTGTGGAATTTCAAGAAAGCTTCATGACAGTTTTAAAGGAAACAGTTGCCTGCTGGGGCAAAAACACCTTCAAGAGGAACTCTGGTTTAAAGGCAAGTCAATCAGCTTCACGTCCCTCCTCACGGCCTCTCTCACCTCCCAGCCTCTTGCTATTCAAATTAAGCCGGCCACTCTGCTCAGGCAAGTCTGCTCCCCCTTCGCTCTCTCCTGCTGCTGGTGGCTCCCAGCTTCCTGCTCTGTCTCAGCCACACTGTCACCCTCCCCAGCTCCCACTCTACCTCAAACCTGACACGAGAACCTGCTCTCCCTTCTTAAGCTGGACCTCATGCTTTCAATCAGTATGCTCAACTAAAGGAATGTGCGGTTTGAAAAAGGACTGAAAAATTATAGTATTAATTTACATATGAACACAAAGCCTATTTCAAAATTTTAAACTTTAAAAAAATGATTTGAAACTTTTGTCAAAAAACCCTGTCCCCTAAATTATTAGCTCACTGGAGAAAGCAATTTAGAAAGTCAACCGAGTCCAAAAAACATCTATAACTAGTTTTAGTGGAGGAAAAGGAATGATAAAATGCTGACGTTTAAAAAAGAAACAGTAACTACAGTCAACACATACTGAGGACTTGCTATGGGCCAGGCACAACTGTAAGCACATGTATTAATTAATTAGCTCATTTAATTTTCACAACCACTCTATAAAGGTGATTTACTATTCCCACTTTGTGGATGGAAAACCAAGGAAACAGGCAGATTCAAGATTCAACCTTGGCAGTCTGGCTCCAGAGGCTGTGCTCTCAACGCTCACAACCTACCTCACAAGGTTAAATCTGACTTTCCTGTCAAGAACTACGTTGCAGACAGAATACCTGCTCTTGACTAGTGCCAAACTTTGTTCTGAGGGGTAAATATTCAGAAACATACCATACGGTGAATCGAATTGTGTTGTTCCCTAGAAACAGGGACAGGTCCTCTGTCATTTGGTCCTGACTTTTCTTGTTGGCCACCATCACCATAATGTAATCAGGAAGTTCTTCATCTATTTAAAAGGAAAAGTATATAAAGACTTTTTATGCTTTCCTTAATATTTTCTTCTACTTGAAGTTGATGTGCTTGAAGATATACATGTAGCTCTAAGAATACCTCAACTCTACTGGAATTACGATGGATTAAATGTATAGCTTTCTCTTTATTCCACAGGTATTTGAATTACTAGAAGAACAGGAATTAGGAATAACTAATGAACACTTACTAATACAACTAGCTATTCTGAATCCCAGTATCAAGCTTGAGAGAGCATTCACTTCTTTTAATCTTTTTAGTAACACTCATTAATTTCAGAGAAACTTCCAGAAAGCATAATGGACATTTCTCAAGAATAATATTGAGTTTTGTTTAGTTCTATATTTCAAAATGACACTCATTTTTCCAGGAACACCTTTATCCTTGGTAAAGGCACATTTCAGTTAGGGTAACAAACTGGCAGAAACATCAAGTAAACTAAAACCACCCCAAAATTCTACATCATTTAAAAAATTCTATCTTAAAAAGATTAAATAATTTCTACTCAATTCATTGTTTCATTCTTATACCCTCCTAACAGACCAAAAACAAAATAAAAAACCACCACAGTAAAAACAAAGCAAAAGCCATTTATGAGGAACTCTGATCCCCACCAAAAAAAATTCTTAGATTCTTTAATACCTTAAATATTTATAACATTTCTATGTAGGCAGGAAGGTTCATTTCAGAAGTACTATCAGACATTTGTTTCAAGAAGAAATATTAAAAAATCTAGTTCAAGAAAAGCACAAATATAATGTGAAAATTGATCTACAAATGGAAACAAAGAAATCAGCATACTTGCTGGAAGCATGCCAAGTCATCCTGAGGATAAAAGAAAGAACAAGTAGCCATTCATTTATTACTTCCTTTGTAAAGTATCCAAAGGCTCTGACTGCTTTCTGGCAACTTTAGTCAAGAAGCCTCCTCCCAAAAAAAAAAGAAGCCCCCTCCTTTATTTACACAAAGTATCCCTACCATGGGCTGCCATTGGTAACCCAAAAAAGGAAAACAAGCTGGAGTGCTGTGGCAGTCTTGACACTTTTTTCCTTCATGTCAGTAATGAAAACAAATAGGCTCTGTTTTCTAACACTAGTTTGCATTTTACAAAATTTTATGTAAATGAGATCAGTGACTGCTCTGGCACATGGTGGGGAAAGATGGGAGGGAGGGATACAAAGGAGCTCAAAGAAAACCCAAAAGGAAACTTTGGGAGTGATGGATATGTTCATTAGCTTGATTATGATGTATACATATCAAGACACAGCAAACTACACTTTAAATGGGTGGTTAAGATATAGTTATATTTTAACAAAAATGTTAGAAGTTCATAATACTGTTCTCTTAGATTCAAAATGAGAAATAAGAAGCTAAAGAAAAGAGTTAACATGTTCATGATACATTCCTACAAAATTCTAATAGCATTTGCAACGTCATCTGAAATCTATGTACTGAAAAACTGCAAAATGTTGAAGGTTTCTGCAAGCTTATACATCTAAAATGTAAATTAAAGGCTGCTCTGAGTTATAACTCCCACCTCTCTGAAGCATTCCATTTTAGACAAACACATGAATAAAACCTCATCAACTCTTAAAAAGTTGTTCACTTTTGTATCCCACTCAATGGTTTGAAAATAGATCCTCAAATATTTACTAAAGGATCGTTTCCATAACCTTAAAGGTTTTAGAACTCTAACACAAAGAAAGGGATTAGAAAGTCACTCTTTTCAGAACAATTATGCATATACATGCAAATAATCAAGCAGTTAATTGCAAATGAATAACATTTTTATTTCAAATATCTAATGGTGATCCCTGTTTACCCACTTAATAGACATTTATGGAAAAAAATTAGGCACTCTTGTTAGGCCACTGGGACAGAATCAACATGATGTCTCTGCCCTCAGGAAACATCCAGTTAAGGAGCAGAGACAAACGAGTTGAGAAACTGTGCTAACCTGTTAACAGCTGGGGCAGATCAGTTCTAGAGAAGCATAAGGCAATGACTCCTATTCTCCTGTTAGCTCGTCAAGTTTCTATTGTAGGTAATAATAGAAACACCAAGGACCAGGAAAACTTGAGTTCTTGGGGCTTATATCTGCTGCTGACCAAGCTTATTGAGCTCTCCCAAGATATTTCATTTCATTATTTATAAAAAGAAGTACTTGCCATCCCCACTTCAGCATTATGTTCAAGTAACAGAAATGTACGAAAATACTTTCAAAACTGTAAAATAAATGGTATCTTCACTACTTTTCACATTGGACTATGGCAATTTGTAATCAGTTTTTAAGAGGCTTAAAATTATTGAGATTTTTGATAAACGATCAGAATCATCAATATGATTGAATGTCAACCAAATTAACGTGTTTATGCTTTCATGTGCTACAATTAAGAAAGTTTTCACTGCAGGTTTTCTGTGGATTTCTTTTTGACATAAATCAAGTTCCTGGCACAAAGTTGGCATCCATTAAATGTTGAATGAATAAAAGAAGAAATCAATGCTGGTTCAGGTTCATCTTTAACCTCTAAGTCTCAATTTTCTTATCTGTTAAAGTCTAATAACAAACTTGACAACAAATAATTAGTATGCGGCCAACCATCTCGTCTCAGGGGCCCCTTTATACCACTGAAAATTGTTGATGGTCCCTAACAGTTTTTATTCACGTGTGTATATCTACTGTATTTACCATACTAGAAACTAAAACTGAGAATTTTTGATTAATTCATTTAAAATAATATACCTAACCCATTAACAACAAAACTATTTATATTAATATAACATTATATTTATAAATAACTAAATTTTCCAAAAGGAAAATCAGTACAAAAAATAAGTTATTTTTATAAATTTCTTAAACATCTGGTTTAAAAGAATTCTGATTTCTACTTTTACATTTAATCTGTTGTATGTTCTACATGAAGAATGTGAAGAAAATCTGATCTCACAAGATATGCAATTGAAAAATTATTTTAGTAGCCTTTTCAGAAAATGTGGATATTTTTCTGTGACACTACACCAAAAGTCAACAAGCAGTAGTTTTTTCAAGGTTAGCAGCAATACTGAAATAAAACTTTATCACTGACTTTCTGTACTTTGTTACATGAAAATCCATTGATCCAATCTGTACTTTCAATTAATTTTTTTATCCCTGTGCAATTTTAAAACATTTTGCATTGGTCATTTGAAAAAATAATGGTCCATGAGCTGTACAAACCACTGGTGTGGTGGATACATTTCATTATTCAGCCTGAATGAATCACCTGCTGATATTATCACACTGTCAAATTTACAGAGGAAGACACAAATTTTCTGAAATTCTGATTTTCATTTGAAAGCTCAATGCTCTGTCACTGGCAACAAAGTCTATTAATTGTTTATCTTTGCTCACTTTCAAGAAAATGTCTGCCAAATACCCCAGTGTATGGAACTAGCATGTCAGTCCTTAAAAGTTAAAAATGGTGTTCTAAAGGGTAAAGTGGGGGGGAGGAGATAGATAAATTACAAGTATGTGATTAACAGAAACCAACTACAATATATAAAATAGATAAGTAACAAGGATTTGCTGTACAGCCCAGGGAACTAGTTTTGTAAAAGTGTGCAATGGAAATAATCTGAAAAAAGTACATATATATAATTGAATCACTGTGCTGTATGCTTAAAGGTAACACAATATTGTAAATCAACTGAACTCTAAAAAAAAAAGTCTCAAACAAAACAAAAAAGAAAAAAAAAATTTCATGAAAAAAGATGACTAGTTCAGTTCCCAACCCAATCACACAAATTTGTTTCAAGACAATACATCATGCTTCTGTATGGCAGAAACACTTTTGAGTACTTCATATTAAAAAGATGTAATCAAAGACAAGGTTTAAAAGAATATTTTACTTTATCACTCATTGTAAGTGAAACTAGCCTTTTTTTTTTCTTTGTAAGTGCAAGTGGAAGGGTGGTGAAGAATATGATAATTTCTTGTGAAGTTTGGTGTGAGATGCTGACTCAGGCTAAGGTACCTGTAGTACCTTACCTTACTCACCACTTTTGCACAATCCAAATGCCAGCACAGTAAAAACGGCAAGTATCTTGTGAGTACTAATATGAAAATAATTTTGACTTCAGAGACTTTTGGGGTCTCCCACACCTCGAGAATCACTATCATGAGTGTAAGCTATTATCTTTATAAGAGGCACCAGCTTTGGAGCCAAACAGACCCAGGTCTCAATGCATAAAACCCTGCTCAAATCAAGCACTCAAAGCCTCAGTTTCCTTGTTTGTGTAATTCAGGATATTACCACTTACCTTTCACCGTTCTCCTGGGGATTACGGTGACCTAATGCACATAAAACAATTTTAAGCACAGTGCCTGGCCCAGAGTCAACATTCAAATTATAAAACATTACAAAAAAAAAACAAAAACAAAAACACGAAAAGAGCTTACTGTGGGGAGCTAAGAAAAAAACCGACAGGAAAAATAAGAGACCCGAAAGTAAACCTCAAGGAACCAGGACAGAGGCAAATACCGAAGAGCATCAAACATTCACATGCAAAACAGTAACCCAGAAAAATAAAAATCAAACAAACATGAAGGAAAACACGATAGAGCCTCAACAGAAGAAAACAAACAATTCCAAAACACCGTATTAGAAAGGGATTTGGGGATAGGCACCAAAAAAAAAAAGAAAAAAAAAGACACGCTGCACATAGAGCCTTCAATGACAAGACTTAGGTAAGCAAAAGTAACCAGGGAGGATGAGATTTGAAGGTAAAAACGGCGTCTGTCCAAAATCAAAGGTCTGGCAGGAAAAATGCGGTCACTGAAAACTGAGCTCGCCGAGCGCCCCACAGCCGTTAGGCTAGTAACAACTTACCGACATAAGCTCCTAATTCTTGCAATTTCCCTTTAATGGCACTCTGAGGGTGAAAAGACAAGACAGGCGTGTGAGAGGCCCCGCGACCCCGGGGGAAGGGCCCGGCCGCCGCCGGAGCGCGCACCTCAGGCGCCCCCGCCGCCCCGCCCGGGGCCCCCGCCCCCCGGCTCCGGCCGGGACCCCCGCGCCTCCTCCCGCCCTCCAGGGGCTTCCTCCTCACGGCGGCCGCGCTCTCCGAGGCCGCGGCTGCGCCCAGGCCCGCGGCGGCCCGTCAGAAGCGCCTCCAGCGACGAGCAGGCCGCGGCGCCCGCGCCGGGCCCACCGCCCCCGTTACTCCTGACGACCGCGCGCCTGTCGGCCCGCCGCCACCCGGCCTCCCGCCTTGGCCCCTTACCCGCCGACGCGGGCCTCACCCGGATCTTACGGCTGATCTCCGTGCCGATCTCCATGGCTCCGCGGGGGAAAGCGGCGGGCACTGCGCGGCGTCCCGCGGACCAGGGGCCCGGCGCCGGCTTCCCCGCCCGCAGCCAGACCGCCACCGCCGATCCCGGCCGCACGCCCTGCGTGACCCGCCCCCACAGGCTCGAGCCCCGCCGCGCGCGCCTGCGCCTGCGCCTGCGCCTGCACCTGCGCACTGGGGGCCCGCGGGGCGTGCGCCCTGGCGCCCTCTGCTGGCGGCCCGGGCTTTCCCCAGCTTCTGCCGGCACGTGGGTGAGTTTCCAACCTTCCCTCCTCACCCGCACTCCCCTTTTGGAATTTAAGTATGTTTAAACGTGCCAGGGAAGGATCCTTGGCTTTGATGTGAGATCTGAATTTGAATCCAGCCTTCACTGCGGTTTAGTGTGATATTCATCTGGATATTCGGTCTCGAGTCAGTTTTCCTACCTGTAATATAGAGGCTGCCTCCCAGCGGTTGCATTATAATCCCACTTGGAGGGAAAAATGGAATACTCAGCGCCGCACAGCCAATTCATCACAGTCGTTTCTTTGACGCCACAACTACCCTGGCTCTCCTGTGTCTGGTTCTGCCCCTCTGCTGTCCTCCGTGGCCTTTTCCCCCAATTAAGTCTTCATCTTGCTGCTCCTCTCTCTGAAATCCCTTTCTTTGGAGAAATCTTTAATTTTCAGGACTTCTGCTCTCACATCTATAATGATCATTGTTGAATATTCCATCAACCTTGTTGTTGTTCACTTGCTTAGTCGTGACTGACTCCTTGAGACCCCATGGACTGTGGCTCGCCAGGCTTCTCTGTCCTTTACTAGCTCCCGGAGTTTACTCAAACTGATGTCCATTGACTCAGTGATCTCATCCAACCATCTCATCTGTTGCCTCCTCCTCTTCTTGCCCTCAATCTTTCCCAGCAAGAGGGTCTTTTCCAATGACTCTGCTCTTTGCATCCCATGGCAAAATTATTGGAGCTTCAGCTTCAGCATCGGCCCATCCAATTAATGTTCAGGATTAAGTTCCTTTTGGATTGACTGGTTTGATCTCCTTGCAATCCAAGGGAGTCTCAAGGGAGTCTTCTCCAGCACCACAGTTTGAAAACATGAATTCTTCAGCGCTCAGCCTTCCCTATGGTCTAACTCTCATATCCATCAGCCTCGAGTTCTCACCTAAACCTCAGTCCCAAATTCCAGATAAATGCAGGCATTTGTGTTTGCTCCAAAGCCACCACATCAAAACTGAAATCTTTCTCATCTTCCCCTTCATCCACTCAGATTGGTTTCTGCTCCTGACATTACTGTTTCTATTAATAGCAGTTAAATTTTCCCTGTCCTTAATCATAAAACCTTACAATCAGATTAAGCATAGGAAGCAGTCTCCCTCCTGCCCACACGGAAGGCTGTGCTCTTATCTGGAAGTTTGACTGAGGAAGAAGCCACTTTCAAGCATGTTTAAATTGTAAGCAGAATTATTGAAACTTTATGAGTGAGAGTCTCAGCTTTTTCCCGGCTGTTGCCCTGAGACTACCCTCAGTCACAGATGTTCCCATACTTCCTTATCATGGCCTTCTCCAACATGCTGCCCACTAAATCAAGCTCCGAGAGACTCTGAGCTCAGGGAAGGCCCAGTCCTTCTTTCAAGGGCTTTCATTTGATTAAATCAGGGCTTCCCAGGTGGCTCAGTGGTAAAGAATTAGCCTGCCAGTGCAGGAGAGAACGAGAGACATGGGTTGAATTCCTGTGTCAGGAAGATCCCCTGGAGGAGTACATGGCAGCCCACTCAAGGATTCTTGCCTGGAGAATCCCCATGGACAGAGGAGACTGGTGGGCTACAGTCCATGGAGTTGCAAAGAGTCAGACAGGACTGAGCACACACAGTATTCAATATCCAAGGGCCTGACACCAAACTCATGATTTAGGGCCTTAATTCCACTTGCAAAATCCATCATCCAGAGGACTTCTCTGGTAGTACAATGGTTAAGAATCCCTTCAAAACAGGGGATGCAGATTCTATTTCTGGTCGGGGAGCTAAGATCTCACTTACCACGGAGCAACTAGAGAAGCTGAAAGGAAGACCAAGCACTATCAAAAAAGAAAGAAAGAAAGAAAATCCTTCATCTGTTCCTGTTCACTAGCTGCAGGCAAGTCGCGGGTGCTGTCTTACCCTCAAGGGTGCAAACCGCATGGGCAGGAATCTTGAGGCCACCTAAGGTCTGTTGGCCACATGGTCCTTCACCTCACAGAATCCTTTTCTTCTTCTGAATTACTATAACATACGAGGGAGCTGCTAATATGACACAAGAGCCTTTCTGTAATGTTCATTTCATTTGTGGGTATATGTGTGTACATATGCACATTTGTCCTCTCTAACAAAACTATAAACTCCTGGTAGGTCTATACTTCTCCCAAATTTCTTTCAGGATGCTGGACATATAGTAAGCACTTACGAAGTTTTGTAGGATAGAATAATGACCTAAATTACAAAAGCATTCTTCATGGATAAATCCAATGATCATGCACTCATTCAAAATGGATGAGAGGCACAGAGCAGAGTGTCTAAGATCAGGAACACTGGAGCCAGGCTGTCTGGGCTTGAATCCCAGCCCTGTTACTCCCTCTGAGGCCTTAGGCAAGTTGCTTATCCCCTCTCTGCCTTAGTTTCCTTATCTGTGACCTAAGTATGATACCAGTTTCTTTTTCATAGATTTATTATGAGGATGAAGTTAATAGTCGAGAAGTATTTTGAACTGTGCTTGGCTCACTGGCAGTAGTATGGTTGTTGATTAAAAATTAAACACCTCCCCTGAGTCAGATGCTGTGCTAAGCACCAGAGCACAGATGAATGAGACTGGAGTCCCTGCAACCGAGACACACACAATCCAAAAGACAGGTACGTTATTTCTCTCTCTTTACCTGCCATTTCAGTCCTAAGAATGAAAACACATGTTTTGCCATTACCGGGCGTAAAATCCTTAGTCAATATGTAGATAATATTGAAAGATCATTTTTGAAATGTTCTTTTTGAAAAACAGACAATGTTTTCATTAAAATGTATTCAGGATAGGGAAAACTTGCATTAAAATGTGTTCAAGAGTTAACTTTCAAGACATATTTAAAATACCAGAAAGAAACTTGCAAGCTGCTTAAGAACTTGCATATCTAGACCTCAGGAGTCTGTCTGGATTACAGAGGGGACAACCCCACTGAACCGATGGGGTTCAGTGTCACTGATATGGTGTGTAAGACACGTCTTCGTAAACCACACTGCATTCAGAGGAAGATGATCGTAACGATGCTTGAGAAAAACTATTAGAGGAACTAGAAGTAGGTATTCAGCTTGAGAAAGACTAAGCAGGACAATGAGAATTATTTTCCAGTACGGAAGAGCTCTCTGGTTCAGGAGGGAAAACCTATCTTTGCTCTAGGAGATCGGATGAGGACTAGATTTCAATCAATCACAGTTGAGGGCTGTCTGAGAGAAGATGACTAACAAGAGCATTGGTTTTGAAGTCACAGAGGCCTGGGTACCAACCCCAGTTGCATGGACCTCCTCATCCTTTCACACTGGTCCCTAGCATCTCCGGCCTCCAATCAGGGCAGAATTCCAACTGGGTACCTCCCACCCTTTTGCATATGGGGGGAGAGGAGGTCAGAAGAGGGTGTCCTTCAGCCTGGAATGCTTTTCTCTGTTTTTCTTGGAATGCCTGAAAGAAACTGAAAGTGTTAGTCACTCAGTCATGACCAACTCTTTGCAACCCCATGGAGTGTAGCCCACCAGGCTCCTCTGTCCATGGAATTCTCCAGGCAAGAATACTGGAGTGGGTGGCCATTCCCTTCTCCAGGAGATCTTCGCCAACCTCGGGATTGAACCTGGGTCTCCTGCATTGCAGGCAGATTCTTTACCATGTGAACCACCAGGAAAGCCTAGTGAACTTTGTTTTTGTCCTTCCAGACTCAGCCAGAAGCTGATCATAGCAATAAACCAGATATTACCACTCCACTTAGAACAGTGGTCCCCAAACTTTTTGGCACCAGGGACTGCTTTCATGGAAGACAATTTTCCCACGGACTGGGGCAGTGGAGGGGTGGAAGGGGCGGGGGTGATATTGATATGATTCAAGCACAGTACATTTACTGTGCACTTTATTTTGATTATTATTCCATCAGCTGCACCTCAGATCATCAGGCATTAGATTCCAGAGGTTGGGGACCCCTGACTTAAAATATTTACCCATTAAGTATACCTGCCTACTAGAATTATATATTCCCCTGTTCCTCACTTTGGCCACCTGATGTAAAGAACTGACTCACTGGAAAAGACCCTAATGCTGGGAAAGATGGAAGGCAGGAGAAGGGGATGACCGAGGATGAGACGGCTGGAAGGTATCACTGACTCAATGGACGTGAGTTTGAGTAAACTCCGGGAGTTGGTGATGGACAGGGAGGCCTGGCGTGCTGCAGTACATGGGGTTGCAAAGAGTTGGACATGACTGAGGGACTGAAGTGACTGTTCCTCACACCATGAGTCTTTGGGAACAGAGCCATACATCTTATTTATCTTTCTCTTTGCAGCATTTGGGTTCTAAGAAGAGCAGCTTGAATGAACAAGTGTTTTCATTAGTAAGTATTATGTGGCATGTCCACCCTTGGGTCAAAAGTCCTTAAGTGTTGGGAACTCCAGTCACAGCACTTGCTTTTGCTCTTGATATCGACATACTTGTCTTCAACGTCTTGTCCAGTTGAACAGATATATTGCCCACATCATCATTTCTCTGATTCCAGGGATCGGTGAAACCTAGGCCCCCTGCACTGGGAAAAGAGTCTTAGCCATTTCAGCAGAGAAGCCCCTAAACTCTCATTCTTGGCAGCGGAAAAGGTGTTGCCTCTGGGGTGGTGCTGAGTGTGGTACGGAGAGCATGCGGGCAAAATCTGGAGACTGATGATCTCACCTTTGTAGCTCTGACTTCCTCTCCTCCTCTCAGGCACCACCATCTCTATGGGAATG